ACCAAAGCATTGCCACCGAACATTGGCAAGGATGTGGAACAACAAAACTCTCATTCAGGGCCTGTGCTGTGGCGTAGCTGGTTGGCCCTGCCTGCAGTGCCAGCATCCCATATGGGTGCCGGCTCAAGACCCAGCTGCTCCACTTCCGATCCAACTCTCTGCTATGGCCTGGGAGAGCAGGGGAAGATGGCCCAAGTCCTCGGGCCTCTGCACCTGCATGGAGACCTGGAAGAAGCTCTTGGCTCCTGGCTTCAGATTGGCACAGCTCTGGCTGTTGCAACCAACTGGGGAGTGAACCAGCAGATAGAAGACCTCTCTCTCTCTCTCTCATTCTGCCTCTCCTCTCTCGGTGTAACTCTGACTTTCAAATAAATAAATAAATTTTTTTTAAAAGAACTCTCATTTGTTGCTGTGAGGATACAAAATTGTATGATCACTTTGGACAACTGCTTTGCAGTTTCTTATCAGCACAAAATATGGATGCATAAAAATAAATGAAGAGCACCAAAATGGCAGCAGTCTTCAGTGTGTAATCTGGGAGTTCCTGGTTGTCCCTTTCCAGGACATCCGCCAGGTCAAATTATTTCAACAGCAATGCTAAGATGTCGTCACCTTCTCACTCTCATTCTTTCCCAAGTGCACAGTGGAGCTTTCCAGCGGGATTTGGCAACAGATTAAATGAAGGGCAGATACGGGCATCTCGCTTACACCAGACATTCCACAGGTTTCCTAAAAACGTAAAATAGTACTACTTGTCTCACAAAATGTTTTAAAAAAAGCTATTCTTCATAAAGAGATTACATGTTATTTATTGTATAGAATCTCATTTTTGAATTGATATTTTTAAAATTTTTATTTTAATTTTTAATGTTGTAGGTATGAGAACAATTACCCACATCTACAGAGCGCTTCGGCATTCTCAATAGTTTCTAAAAGAGTTTCTGAGTCCAACAAGTGTGGGAGCGATTGATTTAGAACAGCTTACTGTGCAAAGATCTCTGATAAGCGGACAGGCAATAGGAGGGTTTAATGACAGAAAAACGTAAAAAGAAAGGATGAAACAAGGGCTTCAAAAATGGAAGCAGCTGGAATTGACCCAGAAAATGCAAGCTGGAGAGTGGAACCACAGGCAGGAGGGGCTAAGGCTCTGAGCACATTGTCTCTGGGGTGTAAATCATTTACCTGCTCACCACGGTATGGTTGTTCTTGGCAAACATGATTTCCTGGCAACCTCAGCCCTAAGTTGTTGGGGACACCAATTTGATTGCAGGTTATGGCTGCATTTCATATTAATGCCACTTCAATTGCTTCGGGTACTTGGGGACACTGTCCAAATCCCATCTGGCATCATTAAGGCACCATGAGTTACCCTTCGGCCATTGTGTATCATTTTGCTTGTAAAGCAATTGGAAACCCACAGAAGAAAGTGTGGGGCTTTGGATCCAGGTAGCCCTGGATTAAAAAGTCCTGCCTGATCCCCCCTTCATCCAGAAAAGATTGTGTTAGACCTTAACCATTTCAAGCCTGTACCGCTGGAAGTGCCTGTCCCAGGAGCAATGGTCCTCTCCGGTCAGTCCTGCACTGTGATCTTGGCTTCGGCTCCAACTGTGTGGCTTCCTTTACTGCTTACCATGGTTTAAGCCTCATTCTCCAGATTTTCCAATAAGTTTTGGGGCCACTTACACTTTTATAATAAATTCCATTTCTTCTTCCAATAATGAATGAGGGTTCCAATTTCTCCACGTCTTCACTAATACGTATTATTAGTCATCTTTTTCAGCCATCCCAGTGAGGTTTGATTTCCACTATTTGAAGCTAACTATGGTTAATCTCAAAATAAATTGAATCAGAAAAAGTTCATGGAAACCCCTCATATTGCTCCAGGTTTCATGTTTAAGGACTCTTTTTTTTATTTTTTTGTTTGTTTGTTTTTGACAGGCAGAGTGGACAGTGAGAGAGACAGAGAGAAAGGTCTTCCTTTGCTATTGGTTCACCCTCCAATGGCCGCCGCAGCCAGCGAGCTGCGGCCGGCGCACTGCGCTGATCCGATGGCAAGAGCCAGGTACTTATCCTGGTCTCCCATGGGGTGCAGGGCCCAAGCACTTGAGCCATCCTCCACTGCACTCCCTGGCCACAGCAGAGAGCTGGCCTGGAAGAGGGGCAACCAGGACAGAATCCGGTGCCCCGACCGGGACTAGAACCCAGTGTGCCGGTGCCGCAGGCGGAGGACTAGCCTAGTGAGCCGCGGCGCCGGCAAGGACTCTTTTTGATTTATGTGAGGACAGAGCAGTAAGAAGTCAATACTGTATAACCTCAAATGACAGACAGCATTTACCCATGAGTCATAGGGGACTTTTCACTTATCCATCTTGAAACAGATAGCTCCTGAAAATATCTGAATCCAACTTCTAAGTACCAACATGCACATCTTGACTGAAGGCTCTCTCTGGCTCCTGAAGTCCATACAGAAGTCAGGCCACAAGCTCCAGAGATGTAAGAATTTCCAAGAGCAGCCTTCACCCAATGGCTGTTGGGAGGCAATCAATAAATAATCCAGGTCCATTTGCTCCGTGTGGAATAATTTTTAAGATGTTCTATCTCTCTGTTTTTTTAAAGTTATGATCCACGTATTGTCAAATTCACACTTTTGAACTGTACACATCAGTAATTTTTTAGTATATTCACACAATTATGAAAGCATCATTACTATCTCATTCTGGAACATTTTCATCCCTCCAAAAAAAAAAAGCCAAAAGCCTGTACCCATTAGCAGTCATTGTCCCTAATAACCACTAAATCTACTTTCTCTTTTTATAGAATTGCCTATCCTGGAAATTTAATATGTATGGAATCATACAATATGTGATCCATCCTTTGTGCCTGGCTTTATCCACTTAATATAGTGTTCACAATATTCATTCATATTATGGCATACACACCCATAATCCATTCCTTTTTATTACTGAATAGTATTTCATTGCATGGTTATACCATATTTTGTTTATTCATCCATTAATTTGTGGACAGTTGGGTTCTTTCTGTTGCTATGAGCAATCAGGTACAAATTTTGATATGGGCATATTTTTCCAATTCTTGTGAATATGTAATACCTAGAAGTAGAATTGTTGGGTCATAGGATAATTCTATGTTTAACTTTTTCAGGGACTGGAAAACTGTTTTCAATCTGACCAGCAGTGAATGAGAGATCCAATTTCTCCACATTCTCACTAATACTTCTTACAATCACATCTTTTTTTTTTTTTTTAAGATTTATTTATTTGAAAGGCAGAGTTACAGAGAGGCAGAAAGAGAGAGGAGAGGGAGATCTTCTATCTGCTGGTTCATTCCCCAGATGGCAGCAACAGCCAAAGCTGGGCCAATCTGAAGCCAGAAACCAGGAGCTTCTTCCAGGTCTCCATGCAGGTGAAGTGGCCCAAGGACTTGGGCCATCTTCTACTGCTTTCCCGGGCCAGAGCAGAGAGCTGGATTGGGAGTGGAGCAGCCGGGACTTGAACTGGCACCCATACGGGATGCCAGCACTGCAGGCAGCGGCTTTACCCGCTATGCCACAGCGCCAGCCCCTATCATCACATCTTTAATATCATAGCCATCCTGTTGAGTATGAAGTGACACATGATTGTGGTTTTGAATCTCACTACCTTAATTCTGAATGATGTTGAGCAACTTTTCTTACACTTACTGATCATTTGTCTATCTTTGGACAAATATCTGTTCAAACCATTGCCCATTTTCAAATTGGATTACTCATCTCTTCATTGCTGAGTCTGACATAGGAGGATATTTTATGTAAAAAGATGTCCTTATAGGGCAGTGCTGTGATGCATTAGGTTAAGCTACAGCCTGAAGCACTGGCATCCCAAATGGGTGCTGGTTTGTGTCCCAGCTGCTCTACTTCCCATCCAGCTCCCTATTAATGGCTTAGGAAAGCAGTGGAGGATGGCCCAAGTGCTTGGGTCCCTGTTCTCATGTGGGAGACCTGGAAGAAGCTTCTGGATCCTGGCTTCAGTCTGGCCCAGCTCCAGCTGTTGCAGCCATCTGGGGAGTAAATCAGAGGATGGAAGACTTCTCTCTGTCTCTCTCTCTCTTTCTTTCTCTCTCCCTCTCCCATTCCCACTTCCCCTTTCCCCCTCCCTCTCCCTCCCTCTCCCCCTCCCCTCTCCCTCCTCCTCCCCCTCCCTCTCTCTCTGCCTCTCTCTGTGCAACTCTGCCTTTCCAATAAAATAAATCTTTGAAAAAGAGTTTCTCTGAGTGGTAGGGGCTCAAGCACTTGGGCCATCTTCCACTGCTTTCCCAGGCACATTAGCAGGGTGCTGGATGGGAAGTGGAGCAGCCAGGACACAAAACAGCACCCATTTGGGATGCCAGTGTCATAGGCAATGGCTTTACCCACAAAGCCGCAATGCTGGCCCTTAGGAGGCTAATTTTGAGGTGTGTGTTCTGCACTGTCTGCCCAAATTCTCCATGGGACTAAGATCCATTTGCTCACACTGGAATATACAGGTCTGGAGGTCAGAATTCTCAAGTGCATCTCACGGAACTAAAATGCAGGAGTCAGAAAGGCTGGCGCCTGGAGGCTCCACAGGAGAATCCATTTCTGCGCCTCTTCCCACTTTCAGAGGCTTCCACATTCCCTACTCATGGCCTCACTCCTCCATCTTCAAAGACGGCACCCACGTGGCTCTGACTGCTGGGTCCCTCGTCATACCGCCTCCTCTGACTCTCCCCGACTCCCTCCACGTGGAAGGACCTTGGTGAGCACAGTGCACCTGTCTGGAAAACCCAGGCCGTCTCCCATCGCAACATCCTTAACTTGTTCCACATGTGCACAGGTCCTGGGACTTGGGATTAGAACCTGGATAACAGGGTGCATTGGGGAGGGGGCTCTTCACAGGTATTTTTTCTTTGCCATCTTGTTTTTTTTAAAAAGATTTATTATTATTATTTTATTTGAAAGGCAGAGTTATGGGGAGAAAGGGGGGGGGAGAGAGAGGGAGAGAGGGGGAGAGAGAGAGGGAGAGAGGGGGAGAGAGAGAGGGAGAGAGGGAGATTTTCCATTTCCTGGTTCACTCCCCAAATGGCCACAGTGGCCCAGAATGCATCAGGCCGAAGCCAGGAGCGTGGACCTCCATCTGGGTGTCCCACATGGGTGTAGGGGCCCCAGCACCTGGGACATCTTCCACTGCTTTCCAGGCACATTAGCAGGGAGTTGGATGGGAAGTGGAGCAGCTGGGACTCAAACTGGTGCCCATATGGGATGCCGGCACCACAGGTAGCTGCCTAAGCAGCTGTGCCACACTCCTGGCCCCTACTTGCGGTCTTGTTTACTGTTACATTTGACCATTTCTAACACTCGGGCATTCTATTATTTACTCCTTGTTGCTTTCCCTTCCTCCCTCCCTTTCTTCCTGCAACAAGCATTTTCTGAGCACCTACTGTGGGCTGAGTGCTGTGCCAAGTACTGTGGGATACAGCCCTGTGCACACTCCACCCTAGGAGACCTACAGCTACTCTCCCTGAATAGACTTGTTACTGCTCCCCACGAAAATGAGCTGGCCCTAGAGAAAAGACGCTGCTCACAAGCAGGCACAAAAGGTAGTTACCAGGTCCCCACCTCTGCTGAGTTTCCGCCATTAAAACACCATCTCAGACTCAGCAAAAAGCACCGAGAAATTCAGCGAACACTGAGAAAGCCAACCACAAAGAGCCTGGTCCCAGACCCAAAGTCCTGGATTTCATACAGGCCTGGCTTCCCCTAGGGGGCGCTGGTGTTACCAAGGCCCTTCACCCCTCACCTGCCAGCTCTTCTGTCAACCTCCCATCGCCTCTGATCTTGTTCCTCTCCTTCTCCCAGGAGAAATGCAACTTTTAGCAAAACATCGGAGCCAGTTCTTGGCAAATGTTCCTCACAAACCCTTCTCAGGAAATGCTTGATCAAACTCCTGGCCCCCAAAGAATCCTTATCTTTTCGAGATACATACTGAAATATTTACAGGTGAAATGATACGAAGTCTAGAGCTTTCTGTGGAACAAAACATGTGGGAGGAAGTGGGTGGGTGTGGGTGAAACAGGACCGGCCGAGCGTTAATAATTGTTCACGCTGGGTGATGGGAACACCAGGGCACATTGTACTGCTCTTTTCTCTCTCTTTTTTGAATACTGAAAATTTTCCATATTAAAAAAAAAATTAGGGGGGAAATTGCCCTTACATTTCACCTTATATCATTGAAACGAACTTATCATGGATATATTTTACTGTCTCACTACCTGGCTAGATGTAAAAGATGAATATATGCAGGTCTGTGAATATTTGACAAGACAGTCATTTTCTATGGTCATAGAAGTTTCAACAAGGAAGAGAAAGTGCTAGATATCTTGTCTGTTGCTGACCTCACAACAATAATATTCTTGACCTCTAGGGAAGGAACACATAAAACAATAGAACATCATCCCGGTAATTGGATTTAAGGGGCTAAAGATACCATGTGAACAAAGATGCTGTAACTCGATTCAGAGATAATTGTGTCTCTTGATGGTGGAGGTGCTGAACCGGCTTGCCTCGGCTCAGAATCGTCATGTATTATTTTCCAGGCAGCATGCTATTAGCGATAGCCTGGGACTATAAGACTATGGTTGTCAGCCAGCCTTGGTACAACTGTGAGAAGCTCAGCTGTGAAGCAGCCAGGATTTTCTTTGGAATGTCTTCATCTGCCCTTCAGTCAATATAAGGGACTTTCAAAAAAATCTGTGGGAGAGATGGAATCAAAAGGTAAGTTTTGGGGTGTAAAAATACCTTGAAATACATGCACAGTTTGTTCATGATACTATTTTTCTATGAACTTTTGGGAGACCTTTTGTATGCTTGGATTAAAAAAAATGTTTTTAAATGTTGGTCAAAACACTTCATTTGCAAAACTGATACACACAGGCATTTTTCTTTTTTGATCTTTTTTTAAAAAATTGATACCCACATTTAGGAGAGAACATCAGGTATCTGTCTCACTGTGTCCACCTTATTTCACTCAACATGATGTCCTACAGTTCCAACCATCCCCCTAAGACAACTGACTGTGGCTATATTTGGGCATGCTCAGGGTCTTACAAGTTCATGGATGATGCATCCTGTGAAGAACAGTATGCATGCATTTCAATTTCTCTTGTAATACAATAACTAATCTTTCTTAATTCCATTTTCAATGTACTATATGTTTTTTTTTATTTTTTTAAAGATTTATTTATTTATTTGAAAGTCAGATTACACAGAGAGAGGAGAGGCAGAGAGAGAGAGAGGTCTTCTAAATGCTGGTTCACTCCCCAATTGGCTTTAACAGCTGGAGCTGTGCCGATCTGAAGCCAGGAGCCAGGAGCTTCCTCCAGGTCTCCCACATGGGTGCACAGGCCCAAGGACTTGGGCCATCTTTCTCTGCTTTCCCAGGCCATAGCAGAGAGCTAGACTGGAAGTGGAGCAGCTGGGACTTGAACCAGTGCCCATATGGGATGCCAGCACCACAGGCTGCAGCTTTCCTCACTATGTCACAGCGCCAGCCTCATGAAGTTCTTTTATGGGATGGATTTCAAAAAATTTTGACACCAAAATCAATTAATCTTTTAATTCTATTTCCCGTGACCTATTTGAAGTTTTGTCATACTGTATGGTGGAAGGATCACAAGCATTAGAGACAAACATTGGACTTGAGGAGCATTTCAGACCTTGGCCAAGTTCCACAACTTTTCCAAACCTCTGTTTCCTCATCTATAAAGTGTGGAATGGTGTCTACTTGGCAGGGATGTTGGGAGGGTTATAGGTAATGCCTGCCAAACTCCTCTCCCATCAAAGGCACTCAGTGAGAGTTTTTGTATTTACAATTGTATGTTCCTTTCACCCCACCCCACATCTCCCAAAACAGTGCTTAGCGCAATAGTAAGAATGCAGCAAGGGGCCAGCACTGTAGCTGGTAAAGCCGCCACCTGCAGTGCTGGCATCCCATATGGGTGTTGGTTTGAGACCCGGCTGCTCCACTTCTGATCCAGCTCTGCTATGGCCTGGGAAAGTCGTAGAAGATGGCCCAAGTGCTTGGGCCCCTGCACCTGCGTGGGAGACCCGGAAAAAGCTCCTGGCTCCTGGCTTCCAATTGGTTCAGCTCTGCCTGTTGCGGTCATCTGGCCAGTGAACCAATAGATGGAAGACCTCTCTTTCTCTGCCTCTCCTTCTCTCTTGGTGTAACTCTTTCAAATAAATACATAAATAAATCTTAAAAAAAAAAAAAAAAGAATGCAGCGAATTTGGTGAATTGAATTAAACTGTTCATGCTGTTCATGGTTGATTGCATTCCAACCTCTAGGGTCTGTGTCTCTCCAAGAGCCGTGGCAGATTCTTCTTTTTGCCAGATTCTTCAGAAACAGCACAGTTTCTATATTACAGTTTCTCGTGTTGCAGCCTCTCCCCTCCCCTGGGGTCACAGCTTCTCCTCTCTGCCAGGTTGGTCCAGGAGTGTCACAGTATTCCCTGTCTCAGCGTCTGCTCTCAGCTGGGTTCTTTGTCTTGTGACCACAAAGGATGAGGCACACAGACAAGGAAGAGTGAGCAAAGTGAAAGAAGTTTGTTGCAAGAAGCAAACAAAGCTACCAGAAATCAGGAGGGGTCCCAAAAGGGTTGCTGGTTGGCACTGCCTGGCTTGGGATTTTTATGTGTTTCTAAAGAAGGAAGCTCACCTGATTGGTCAAGGTATATGCTAATGAGGTATGCTACCTGAACCAATCAGGGAATCAGCAGAGCCTGAATGTGGTTTGGCCAAAAACCCATCAGCAGTCGGTTAACATGGAGCTTAGGGAAGTTAGGGGTGTGCTCTAACAGGTCCATGGCGGGCTGGGCCTGGTGAAAAGCAGGAACCAATCAGCTATGGCCAGATGAGAGGCTGGCAGCTGCAGGGTCCCATACAGTCATCAGAATGCACATGTTCCACACCGCACGGCCGGGTACCCCAGGTCCCCCAGAAACTCCAACCAGGGGCACCATATATCAGGAAGAAGTAGTAAGACTTGACCAGGTCTTCATGCTTGGCAGATCACTCCTGACGAAAGCGCCTTTCCCTGGTTGTTCAGGCCAGGAAACAGGGACCACGTATGGGATGTCCCTCTTCCTCTCATGGCTAATCATTCACCAAGGTCTACCTATTCAAGTTCTGTTTTCAGGAGAATCTGTCTGCTTACCTTAAACTCTGCTCTTACCACTTCATTTTAACACTTAATCTTCTCTCTCACTGGTCTACCAGCAAACACTAGCTTCCTCACATGTGTTCTGATTCCTTTTCTTCATGGTGGCTGGAGGAATTCTTTCCCTCCTTCTTGTAATTGTGGAAGATTTTAAATATTCACAATAAGTAGAGAGTCTATTGTGTTCCCACATACCCACTGCTCAACTTCAGCAACTACCAACGAATGACCAGTTTTGTTTCATCTCTCTCCTCAGTGTTCTTGGATTATCTGAAGCAAATTCCAGAAGTCATTGCTTTTTTTTTTGGGGGGGGGGGCTGGAGAGAAAATGAGACTTCATTGCGTCTTTGTCTTCCTGGCTTGCAAAGCCCCATGTCAGCTGTCCGCTTCCCCAGCTGCAGGCTCCTATCTGTCACTGCTCCTTCCTGGTCCCAGGCCCTGCGGCCTTCTCCCGTGCCTCTGGCGCTTTGTGTTGTCCCTGTCCAGTCTCAGCTTTCAGGCTGTATGCAAGGCTCAAAGGCTCATCCTTCACCCCCTTCTCTGTCCTGTCTCAGCTGCATCTGCTCCTGCCTCTGCTGTCGCTCCGCACACCACTTCCTCCACAGGCCCCAGGCTCGGGTCAGGTGCCGCCTGGGTGAGCTCTCAGCACACTCTCCTTGTCCTGAAATTGTTACCACTCTGTTTGGTGGCCAGTCATCTAAAGTTGCTTCCCCTGTTAAACACCAGCTCCATGGGCCTAGGAACAGTGTCTGTTCAGTCCTCTGCTGAGGCAGCCGGGGCACAGCTCGATATCTTCCTCATGGGAAGCACTTAATTGACTACTTGTTGAATGAGGCCCCCAAGAAAAGTAAACCCAAGAACCACAACCGGCTCGTGTTATACGTTGCTTATATATTCAGACTAGTTTCCCGAACTTTTTTTTTTTTAACCACAAGAAGCACACTCAAAGGACAGGCACTTGGTACAGCAGTTCATTCATGAGTCCCCTGCCACACTTCCCGGTGTGGGCTCTCGCAGGGACTCGAACTCACTCGAGTCTGCCGCACACGTGCGGGGCCAGGCGGGTGCGGCTGCCCCCGGCTCAACCCTCCTCCGCAGGGCGGCCCCGAATAATATTAATTTGTAATGTTATTTAATTTCAACAAAAACATGTTTCTGGCCCATTAAAATATCTTGTTTGGCAATTAAAAATACAAAGCTGGAAGCTGACAGAATTTACGTTTAAAAAAAAGAGTTCTGATTTAATAGAAATATGCACCTCTGTTAAATTAGCATACCAGTCATTCATGACTGTCACAACAAGCGTGTGTTTCTGCTCTGTTTCTTTTAAAAATTTTAGCAGAGCAGATACAGTCTAGGAAATAAACTATTAGTCTGACGTTACGTCACGATCAAGGGGCCTCTCGTAAAGGCCATAACCCTACCTGGTAGGCTAGGTGTGAGGCTAGTTTGAAGCAATTATGAGCAGTCCCTGCTTTCAACTGTACGCTCCGTAGATGATGGCCGTTTTGCTTTTGTTAAGAGCTTGATCTGGTCCCCGTCCGCTTCTTCTCGGTTACACTGAGCCACTTGCCTTTCCTGTCTCAGATCAAGCACCTCACAACCCTGCAGGTCATGGCTCAGCCGGGCTCCAGGAAGTCCTTTCCCACTTCCGGGCTGGTGGAGGGCCCTCCTGTACCCTCAGGCGATAACTGTGCGCAAGGCCAGTCCGACTCCCTGGGAGCTGAAGAGAGGCCCAGGCCACCCCTCCGTGCAAGGCTCTGCAGGAAGAGGAGGAGGGGGAGGAAGCTGTGCTGTATTTTAACTGTTGAAATGACTGGCGAGTCGGAGGTGCTCAACAAATATATCTTGAATGACCACAACCAATTAGCACTGTTGACACACAAAAAAGCCGTGCAATGTCAGGGTGCGATTTGCAGACTTAATTTAAAATCTGAATTCATAGCGCACTGCGGGCGGTTGCTTAGGGCCCTGTAAGTTCTGTCTCCCTGTGTGTACCCTCATCTGGAGACGACAGCCGTAGGTCAAAATTTGTGGCGTCGGAAGAGAGACTGAGTCCCCCAAGGTTTCCTGCCCGCCCTGCCTGCTGGGAAGATGCGGAGCTCCTTGGGCTGCAACCTAAGTCCTGGGGTCTCAGGAAGCGCCCGTCGGCTCCCCGAACCCGCACCAGGGGGCGACCCCCTGCTAACCCAAACCTGTTATTTTCCAGCCTGCCAGCAGGTGGCACCCTCAAACCCTTGTCCCGCCAGCGCGCAGCCGGGGCGTGCGCGGGGAGGCCGCCAGGCGTGGACGCCGTCGCGGGCCGCGGGGTGGCGGCGGGGTCCCGGGTCGCGCAGCCCCACCCCGGAGCGCTCGGGGCGGGGCGGAGGCGGGCGGCGCGCGGGCTCCCGCCCCTCCTTCTGGCAGTCACCTGGGGCCGGACGCGGCAGGTGCCTGGTGGCGACCTCGCCGCGAGTGTGGTGGGGCGCCCTCGACCCCCGACGCCTAGCGCCAACTGCGGGTGAGTGCGGGGCCGCGGCTGCAGGGGTCCCCCGCGGGGCGCTGCGCACGTCGGGCAGGCGAGGAATTTCCTGAGCTTTCTCGGCTACTTAAAAAGATCCCGGAGCGGGGCGGCGGAGGCGCCAGCCTTCCTGTTTCGGGGTGCGGGTTACTGCGCAGCCTCTGCAAGTGTAGTCTGTCGTGGGCTCGGGGACAGGGACCCGGGGGTGGGCGGGTACCCAATCCAGACCCTCGGCACCGGCCGTTCCAGGGGGGCTTGGTTTGAATCTTTCCGCTGTCCTGGGTGCGCGCAGTCAACGAACACACACGCACGTGCATTAGCTGGGGCGACCTCGCGGCCCCTGCAGTGGCCTGAGCGTCGGGGACAGCGTCTCCGCGCGCGCCAGCCACGGGGATTAAGCCTCCGGGCTTTGCAGGGCTGTTTTCAGAGGCCATGACGACCTGGTTGGTTTCTTGTTGAGCAGCCCAGCTGGTTCAGAATTCCCTCTAGATCTAAACCGGGACCGCCCTCCGGAACGACAGCTGAAACTCCTTTTCTCACACCTTGCCCAGCTGGCCCCGGGGAGGTGGTGCTGGGCCAACCTGCCCTGCGGAGGAGGGTTGAGCCAGGGGCAGCCGCACCCGCCTGGCCCCACACGTGTGTGGCAGACTCGAGTGAGTTCGAGTCCCTGCGAGAGCCCACACCGGGAAGGGTGGCAGGGGACTCATGAATGAGGGTTTGGCTCTCAGGATTATTTGCCTCGGGTGAAATGGTTTTGCCATGTGCTCTGTATTTATAAATTTACATACAAACGCACACACGTACTGGGCAGCGTTTCTAATCTCCGGAGTAGAGTTATGAGAGGTATTCGCAGATGCCAGAGGGTCAGGGACTGTACAACGCACAGGGAGAGGACTTTAAGATACAAGGCGGAAATAGAGTGTGTGGACCTTGGTTGCATCCTAATTTGATAAAAGAACTTTAAAAAAAAATTAGATGGTGGAGATGTGCACCTGTTATTTGATGGTATTAAAGATATCAGCTTTGTTTTTCGGTAATTGTATCACGACAAGGGTTTTTTAAAATTCCTAGAGGTGTTGACTAAAGTTCAAGTACAGGTTGGGGGGTTTGCTTCAGAACAGCCCGGTTTAGGGGCACTGCTGGGGGTGGGGGGACAACGTGAGAGGCGATTGGCTGTCACTCATTCACAGTTGAAGCTGCCCGATGTGTTTGGAAGTCCCAGTGCAGTCCTTGCAGTATTGCTACTGCACCCGTTTCTGTGTGTGCCTTCCTTTACAAGTACAGCCGTCACCACCTGTGGAGCTGTTTTGCACAAGGTAGCTTTGGCACCACAGGTGATTTTAGATTCCAGGATGTCCTGCAGGAGACTTATTTTTTGTAAACTGGGTGTCAAGGCTGCCTTTCCTAAAGAGCCCCCAACCCCTCCCTTTTCTCGCTTCCAGGGTTGTCGGGGAGGGGGGGGGTGTTTGCTGAGCAAGGCAAAGCTGAGCAGATCCGATGCAGGTGGATGCTGGGTCAGCTGTTTCTATACAAAGGGCCCTAGCCAGCCTGGGGCTTGAGCTGCCTCGCATCGGGAGGGTTGTATAAAATGTTAGAAGTTTTGCCTGGTGGCCCTTCCAAGTTCTGCTTTTCAAAAGTTGGGAATACAGCCGGGTATGCTCCTGGAAGCACCACAGACATCAGTGAAAAAAAAACTCACAGTAGAAAAGCAAGGTAGGAGCTGAGTGGAGACCTGGATATTACCTGGAAGAGAGCTAACGCGCGCTGCTGAGTTCCCGTCACTGCATCTGCTGCGGGACCCGGTGGTAAATATTCAGCACATAATAGAATCCTACACATCTTGTTTCAAGAACCGGAGTGGGGGTGGGGGTGGGGGTGGGATGAACAGCTATATATTCAACTTGTGCATTTTTGCTCCTCCAAATTGATCCTATCATTCCTCCTCATTGTGTCATGCTTGATGAGTGATTTAGAAAAGATGCTGAGAGGGAGCTACTGAAGTTCAGCGGAGGGAGGAGGAGGAGGTGGCTCCCGCCAGAGAAACTCACACCTGCAGCCGCTTCATGGTCAGCTAATGTGATGTCTCATTGACTCAGGGAGACAGCCAACGCAGTAACCGCCATCTGCGACAGTCAGAAGCTGCAGTGTCCCGTGCATCCCCAGAGCCCCCCCACCCCCGCCCCCGCCGCGTGGGCCACTGGTGGAGAGGCGTCTTTGCCTTCAGCTCCGGAATGCCCCAGAGCGTGTCCTAATTGCATTGCGTGTGTAGGGGGAAAAATGAGAGAGCCAAGAAAAATTCCCCTGCCCCCGAAAAACACCGCGGTTGATTTCTTTATGGCGTCTCAGTGAAATTATTTGGTTTGCAGTGCAGTTGTCTGTGTGAGCCAAAGATATGAAACTGTTGGGTGAGTTGCCTTTCTACCTTCAGCTTCCTCTCCAGTCCCCTCAGAGGAGAGCCTGGAGAAGGGAAGGAAGCTTGCGGACCCCCAGGTGACCAGCTGGTGACCTAATGCTTCCCGGGTCAGCGAGGAGTTGGTTGCTGACAGCCATTTTAAGGGATTACAGGTGTGATGCCGTCCTCTCCCTGCCTCGAGCTACTGGAGGCTACTGGAGGCTGGCAACGCACTAGGGACGCAGAGTAAGCGGGAAGGGTGCCGGCGGGGAAGTCGGCACCCTTGTCCCACGGTGGAAGCGCTCTGCTTGCCTCGGGCCAGCTGGAGCAGCTGTGATGGGCCCTTGTTTTGTTTTTCACAGGGGAGAACATTGAACTCTACAGAGGCTGAGAGTTGTTCTTCAGGGGTATAGTGAAAGGAAATTTAACTTTCTAAATTTTATTTGAAAGGCAGAGAGAGACAGAGATCTTCCATCTAGTTGTTCACTCCCCCAAATACGTGCAACAGGCGGGGCCGGGCAGACCAAAGCCAGGAGCTGGGAAGTCAATCCAGATCTCCCACGTGGGTGACAAGGACCCAACTACTGGAGCCGTCACCTGCCACCTCCCACCTCCCACGGTGCACATTGGCGGGAAGTTGGAAGTGGAAGTGTAGGTGAGATTCGAACCCAGGCAGTCTGATACAGCATGTGGGCACCCAAGTGGCATTTTAACCTCTGTGCCAGACGCCTGCCTTTAAAGGAACGTTTATGTTAAGAGGATACATGTTTTTAATTCTCACAAATATTTCTAAATTGGATGTTTGTGGCCCATTTTGCAGATAGAGGTTGTGCCTCAGAGAGGCTAATAGTGTGCTTGAGGCTCGCTCTAGGGAAAAAGTAACACCAAGATGCAAACTCAGCTCTGTGGCCTGGAGAGGGTGTGCCGTGACCTTAGGCCGGCAGCAGAGCCACACACCCAGGCCCGGGGTAGACAGTGCAGGCGGACTTTCTCCTCCCCACACCTCACTGCCCTGGGGACCCGGTGGGGCAGGGGCATGGTGTGCATCCACCAATGGGCCCTTGGACACTTTTATCATGCAGAGGCAGCATGGAAAATCAGATTTCAAATACTCTGCCACCAGAATTCCTGAAGGCGGGCCTGGAGCAGTTTAGGGACACGTGGTGGCTGCAGCCTCCCTGGCCTTGCTGCTCCTGGAGGTGGGTGCCCTGCACTTGTACTGCCCTGTCTCTGAGGTGAGAGATCCTTCCATGTGCCTCCGTCACCGGAGGAAAGGCTGTGGCAGCCGTGGGTTTCTTGTCTTCATGCAAGAGGGAATTCAGGCATGAGACAGAGAGCGAAGTGATAGGTTTTATTAAGGCTAGGGCATCTGTTAGAACAGCAGGGACCGATAGAGTGCACCCAGTCACTCAGACTGAGGGAGCGGGAGGTTGCATGGCTGAATGGAGAGAATACACCTGGGCAGGCCAGGCGGGCGGCTCAGCAGAGAGCAGAGGGCACCGCTATCCGTGTTTGGACTCCCTCGGTTTTTAAGGGAATCTCTTTACCCCCCTCCCCCTCTCCTCCAGGACAAAGGGTAGGGAACCCTGGTGAAAGGATTCCTCCCCAGAGGTGCTGGCACCGGGCAGAGCAGGGGGCCTTCCCTTAGGGCCTCTGTGAAGGTTTTACTGCCCCATGTTACCAGGTCAGGGAACTCATCTGGTCCTGAGGAGAGAGAATTCTGGGAGCTTTCCTTGGGGGAAGGGCTGGGACCACCTGGAAGGTTATCAGGGTCTGAGCAGGACTTGGAAGTGCAAGATGCTGGGCTTCTGGGGTTTCCAAAGCAGACGCTGGTTTCTTCAGGCTCCCCTCACACACATGGGTTCATTTCTGACTCCTTGCCTAACACCTCCATCCAAACCGAGATAACAAGAGAAACGTAGAGAGGCTTGTGTTTGCTTTGCAGTGCTTCTGCCAGAAACATGAATTCAAGGGCTGTCACAGTGGGTTAAGCCACCACTTAGGAAGCTGCTTCCATACCAGAGCCCATAGCAGAGTGCTATTTAGAGTCTCCGCTGCTGTGCTTCTAATGCACTTGGGAAAGCAGCAGAAGATGGCCCAAGCGCTTGGGCCCCTGCACCTGCGTGGCAGAGCCGGTTGTTGCGGCCATTTGGGGAGCGAATTAACAGGTGGACAATCTCTATGTCAATACATCACTATAGTTTCTATAGTGATATAGAGTCTATATCACTCTGCCTTTCAAATAATTTATTAATTAGGAACTTTTAAGAAGAAAAATGTGAATTCTGACATTTTTCTCATACCCTGTCCACTTACTACTATACAACTTGCCAGTTTGTCTCCTCTTGCAGTGCAGTGAAGATGGGGGTACACGTGTGGGCAGTTAGGGAAAAGACGGGCCTGATCCGTTCTTCTGAGTGAGAAGATGGCTCTTGTACAGCGCGGGGGTTCCCCAGGGTGTTCCTCGGGGTACAAGAGGGCTGCCCCCTCTAAGCAGCCTGACTGGGCTCCAGATGATCCCGAGGTTGTGGCTTGGGTTTCCAGCCTCCTTTGAGCTGGATCCTGGCCCCTCTGGGATTTCCCAGAACTTGCGAATGTCTCCTCTCTCCCTTCCTTGTGTCCACCCCGTTCCTGCAAATGACAAATGTGCCTCTAAGCAGCGCTTGGGCACAGCCCCCTTGGAGGAGGAGCTGGGGCGCCCGTGCTTCCTCCAGCTGTGGAGGGGGTTCTGCAAGGCCACCCATGGGCCAGTTAATTTCCTCCTGAAATTTTCCACGGAGGTGCCGCAGGGACAGCTGTTGTCCTCTGCATGGAGTGTCGTTACAGTGGAGGTTTTTATGTAGATCTCTGTTTCTAAGCCGGACTGGTGTGAGGTGGGGAGGGGCTGGAGGTGGGAGAGACTAGGAAGAGGAAGCATCACAAAACAGCCTGGCGAAGGGGTGATTTGAGGCCGTCACCCCGAGAGTGGTTTGGACCCAGAGAAGCAAGTTGGGAGGCTGAGGTGCTTTGTAGAGGTGTATGGGGCGCTTGCAGGAGAGCCCTGGATTCAGCCCTGTAGGTGTGGCCGTCTTAGGAGATGATTAACTCCCTTGTCAAGGAAAAGTGGGTTGATTGATTATTAGCCAGAGCAAACAGCGGCGTAGCCAAGCAGTCTTCAGTATACACTCGGGCTTGCGGGTTGGATTTCTAGTTCTTCCTCCACCTCGCCATGTGACTGTGACCTTTTTTTTTTTTTTTCCTGTTAACCTCTGCCCTATCCCC